AAAGAAAAATAATAGTAAGAATACAATAAGAAAAAAATTGAAACCATAAATAGTGTAAGTGAAATTTACTCTATTTATTATTGTATAAAACACTTGTCTTGCTTTTTGCTTTAAGAACCATCCAATACCCAACTTAATTTGTAAAATTCATGGACAATACATCATTAATGTAAGATGATATCTCAATTATCCGAAAAAAAACAGTAAGGGATAATATCTCATTTTCATACTTAACTTTTTATTGAAACAATAAGAATTTTTTTTTAGTAAATTTAAAACTTTTAGATTTAATGTAAAGAAGATATAAATGTATACATACATATATATATATATATATATCAAAATTTTTATTATTTTTATTATAGGCTTAAACTACCAACTTTATTTAAGAGTAAAACAATTATTTTGTATTTATCTTTGCATATTCTTTGATCTCTTCCGAATAAACCAAACAAACTATATTCTGCTCTTTCACTATTATGAATCAATTATTTTTTTCTTATTGATACATATGCAAAGGCAAGAAGAACCCAGAATCCCATATCTATCATTCACACGTCAGGCAGGCAGCATTAAAATGCATACTTTGCACTAGATAAGAAACAGCTCCTTATCAATGGAACAAAACAACAATTTGCTTCATTACTTACAAGAAAAGGTGAAGGTAACGTTTTGAACTACTGCAAACAAAACATAGATATAGGATTCAATTAGCTAGAGATCTTCGAGCCTGAAAACTAGGACAATTTTTTATGATACAGAAGAGTTGACAGAGGAACACAAGAATTATCATATTGTGATCCATTAAATATTCCATATTTTCTCAAAAAGTATGAAAATGACAAAAAGGACTAACTCATCATGCACCAGAAAGCCCCAGTTATTCATCATCAGAATAATTGAATTTTATCGAGTGAGACTGCTGATCAATTAGTCCTCCTCTATAGCTTCCACGCTTCTTCTTGGTCTTCTCATGCCGAAAATCCCTGCATTTACAATTACAAACAAGTGCATTAGAAATTTCTTCACCATCTAGCTTAAGCATATTATCGCAAAATCCATCCACTCCCAAACCGCATAAAACAGGAAAAAAAAAAAAACATAAAGGTCATTTCAAGCAAAATATCAACACTTCGACAGGGAATGGATAAATGATATTAACAAATGTGTATATGCATCATTGTAGTCTTTGCTTCACAAATAGTGCTAGTTAAAGAGCTATCACTCCTTATGAATGTGGACTCAAGACACAGATCAGGCAGACCTAATGATGCGCTTTTTGGTTCCAACTGTACATACATCCAGATATTTGCACATGACCGTATATACACATACCTTCCTCTTACTTGCCCTAGAACTTCTTGTGCTTTTGCACCATATCCATTTTCAGCGCCATCCTGTGAAGATTTTGCAAGTGACCAAAAATACAAATTACATAATAGCAAAATAATGGAACATTAAAAAGGAAAGCAACCAAAGGAGCATATAGTTTATACCTTCGCCCAGTATGAATTATCTTCAAGCCTTCTATCAACAAATACTACCTCATCAATGTTCACTCTTTGAAATGGTTTCTTTGGCTGCAATAACACAACAGTTGATGTTAGATCTGTTTTGAGTATTATCCTCAACACCCTCAAGGAAAACCATTGCTCATAATATGTACCATTCACAACAACCAAAAATCAGTTGGCCCACAAGATTAAACACCACCTATCATCAAAAACAGCAGCCAAAGAGGAAGGGACGGAGAGAGAGGAGTAATAACCATGAATAAACACACATCATGAAATGCTATAATTTAAGAAAGACCACAAATACCCAAGCATGCAATGCAATATCAAAATCTCACACACCCTTCAAATTCCAACAAAAATTGAGAGACAAAAACTCATGCAGCATGAATAGAAAAAAAAAAAACTAAAAAACACCTGTAAGTGAAGCAATTATATTAAAAGATTAGACTTGGATGAGAAAATTTCAAATCAGGCAAAATTTATAAAGTTAAATACTCAAATATGAAGCAACTAGTCAGATTCAAAATGCCAACTTACACACACTAGCTTTTAAAAGCAAAATCTCTTTAAGGCTTTGGCACCAACCATTTTTCATGAACCTCCGAATTTTACTACGAAAAAATGAGTCTCTAAAGCTACTTAATCACAAACACAACAAGCAAAGTATCATCAGGGTACAAAAGGAGCAAGGTATCATCACAGCTCTCTTATTATCCATGAGATTTAAGAAACAGTGATTTAACAATCCACTTGAATGCATGTTTTGTAAAGAAAAAAGAAAAAAAAGAGTGCATTCTATATAGATTAGCATGTGCAACGCATAAAATATATTAGGAAGGAGAGGCAAAGGGATATACATTATTGTAAATCACAGAGATAAAACAAGCAAACTGCTGTCAGAATTTGGCTTCAATTAACATTGTTTCGTATAAAATGTTCAACATCAAGGTATTCATAAACTTACCGGAACTGAACCATTTTGCTGCTTCTTCAAACTGTTTTGCTCAGAATTCTTTCCATTTTTCTCAATGTTCCCATTTTCCTGCCCTTGTGAACTTTCTGTCTTTCTACGTTTAGAGTCTTCAATAGCCATTTTATCAACAGGCTGAGAATCATTAACTTCAGAATCCAATCTTTTCCTTTTTTTGGAACCTTTACTATCCATGATTGTTGAATCCTCCTTCAAGATCCCAATATTATTATTTTTTGATTCCACTCCACTAGATTTTCCTTTTTCAAGCTCTTCAGAATCATTCTTCTCTTTCCTTTTTGCTTTAGATTTGGTAGTCTTATCTTCCAACGAAATGTCACCAGCATTCAAGGTAGTAGCAGCCTGCAGCTTATCCTCTGAACCATGTTGCTCAACATTGTCAACAAATGAATCAGACGTAAGCTTAATTTTCTTTTTCTTCTTATCCTTAGTTTTACTCTCCATCCCTGCATCAGACACTCTATCACTCTCCATAGATACTGCATCTTTATACTTTTCAGATTCCCCACCTAAACATTTTGCATTACCAACGTAAGATTCAGAATCCAACTTGCTTTTCTTCTTTTTCTTCTTCTGTTTCTTAACAGACTCATCCAACTGCGACCCATCCATAATATCATCAGCAGGTGCCTTTGATGCTTTGTGGAAAACTTGCTCCTCATTGTTCTTAGAGTTGGCAGATTTATCAACAACTTCAGATTGACCAGCTAGTGCATCAGTACTACTCTCATTGCCTCTCTTTTTCTTTTTCTTGATAGCAGTATCAACAGCCGAAGCAATGCCAACTTGTTCATCACCATTAGGATTGCCATTCACCTGCATATCTGCAATTCCACATTTTTAGCATCAAAATCAACACCAAAAAATAATCATTCCAGTGTCTTCATAACAGCATATTCTTAAGTGAGTTTAGCAGACCTTGGAACTGCTGTCTATTTAAATTTGAGCTGGAATTATTACTGCATAACACAGAAGTTGAAATAAGCTTAGAATAAGAACAGAAAAAAAAATGATAAAATATGATATAGTAAGGACAGGAAACATTATCAAAAGGATAGAATGGTATACTGCAGAGACTTATGCATCTTAACAATTACAGTTCAGAACACCAACCACAAACCATGTGAAAGCAAAGCTCAATGGAAGTTCAATATGCATTTTTCTGTTCACATGCAGATCACTGCTGGTTTATATTTGAGTGTTTACAATGCCCATTGCATGCATAAGTTTAATTTTAGATCATGAATGCAGTGAAAAGAGTATAAGTAAAGGCAAAGGTGAACATAGCTTGTACAAATAGCCAGGCCTCAATCCTTCCACACACACACACATCAAGAGAAAGATATCATCCTACCTCATTGCCAAATACTTGCAGCACATTTCTTCCAAATCCAGGGAAGAACCAGTCAAAGCATTTTTCTGCAAAATAGAAGAAAAGGGAAATTAATGTAGGAATCCAAGCCAATAAACATAAATATAGCATGGAAGAACGAATCAAAACTCCTAATTCAATTAACAGGAAACAAAGGGGAGCATGAGATGCACACTCACAAGACACACACACAGAGATGAGCAGTAAGAAGACAAAAAAAAAGGCGCATAGTTAGTGTAAGTGAGCAAAATATTAAATGCTTCAAGCAACATGAAATACTGCATACACATACATAGAGAGTCATAGACAAAGATACATTATTCATGAACAAGCTCCCAGCTTTGTAGAGATAAAAATAACAATGCTCCAAGAAACATGAGATTTACCTACAGATGTTGAAATATTGAGGACAAATTGGAAATAACTGTTAACTGTTTGCTTACGTCTTAGACATTGTAGTTCAGTAATAGAAAGTGAAGCACAACGTTTTCCAAAACAAATAGTTGTGGTCTTACAAATTTTTCTCAATTAATGGGGTAGCAGAATAGAGGTGCTGTTGTTGGTAATCCTAACTGCCACGTTTAAGTAAACCCTCTACGAGATTTCCTGGTATACAACAAAGGCAAAAGAGCAAACCACAATATATATTGTCCCACGTGAACCATTTTCTGATCCTTAGAAACTTGAGAGAAGTTGCACTGTACTGCAGGAAACACCATTCCTTGCATTCAGGATTGAAGTATCCTTAGTGACGGTCACAAGCATATAGTATCTGACCTTCAGCATATTTTGCATTCCCGATTAGCATCAAATTCGTGGAGAAACATACAAAAATATGATCAACGAATAAAGGGTCTAAACCATTTGGAGAAATATTAGTTGAGGCTATGAATTATAACGGCTAAGAAAAAGAGCAGTGGATGAAGATAAATGTCCTCACATTGGGAAGAAGATGCCTTATGCCTTTAAATTTGTAGGTTTGTTTATTGTAACCTGGTAAGCCATTAGTCCATTACAAACAAAGATAAAAATTCTCCGAGCCTACCACAAAGCTCTCAGAAAGTAGGCATTTTAACATTCGGCAGAGGGACAATGGCTTTCTTTCTTTTAATTCAAGAATACCCAACAACCAATCAGCAATCACATTCAAACATACATGCTGAGCTGAGAATACTAAATGAAAACACAAAAAAGAAAAAAAAAAGATACCTGTATATGGGATTCGGAGAGAAACTTCTTGAGGGTTTTGGAGAAGGAATTGCGTTCGAGAAACTGGGCTATGGAGAGAAGGAGAAGAGACTTTTGGTGGGGATTCAAGGACTGAGGTGAGGCCTTGTTCTTCATGGTTGTATTGGAAGAAAGTACAACTTGGCGAGGCTTCAAAGCTATGAGCGAAGGGGAAGGCTTCCGAACCATTAACGACATAAGTAAATTTATATAAACCCTCACCCCCTCTCTCTCTCACCACAAGCGACTAGGGTTTTGCTTTTCCTTTTCTCTACCCAGACCAAGGTTTAAAGAATTCCTTGTTGGTTTTTCTTTGCTTTTTAAATCCGGAATAATAGTTTTTGGTTAACGTAAATTTCTACAACTACAAGGTTTGGGCTCTGAAGCCCAATCACAATTACATACTATGTTTCCAAAGCCTAGTTTCAGCGTGCTACAACTATTGCTAAACTGTCCTTGGAATATTTGACTCAATTATCTATAATTTATGCTCAAATTTTGAATTTACTTTTCATGTTATATAAAATTTTTGAATTTAGACTTTGTTATCATTTATACAAATTGAATTTTGTATTTTAAAAAATTATTATTTTAAGTCTAATAATTAATATTGTTAAGATCTTTTGTTAAATATGGTGATGTGAAATTAATAGATGCTTCATGGCATTTTCGGATATTTTAAATGTAGGTAATTAAATTGTGGTATGGATTTATGGAATCAGGACACGTGACACATTTCAAAATAATTAAGTTTTATATTCAGCATTTATTTGGCCTGATTTTTTTAAACTTATCTACTTCTTAAAAGTAGAAATTAAGTCAAACATAATTTTTAAAAAATTAATTTTTTTAAATAATAACATTTTTTAGAAAAAAGTTTAAAGAAAAACTTCATAAAGGAGCTTTCTTTTATCTTTTTTTAAAAACACATCAATTTTTTAGAAACTATCTTTCTTTCAATCAATCTCCCTTTCCTTTTATCTCCTTTGCAAATCACCATTTTCTAATACAAATCGCGATCTCTCTCTCATCGACCTCTCTCTACAAAAACTGCCAAGAAAAAGAAAAGAAATAAATAAAAGACCCAGCAATAGATAATAAAATCTAAATTTTTTTGCTCTTACAAAGATTAAGAGAAAAGAAAATTCAAATTTAAAACTGCATTCAGATACTATTTAAAAGTTTTCTCTCTTCTTTACAAAAAAAGATTTTAATATCAAATACATTATTTCCTCTTTTCTCTTCTTTTTTGGGAGTGAAAGTATCATGGTCTGATTACTTGCTAAATCAACAAAAATCTAATATTATTGTTGATTTATAAATTTGAGAGTTGTTCCGTTTCTCTATTGATTTCTTTGAATTTAATATATGAAATTGTATATAAACTTGAAAGTTTTGTTATAGTTTATTAGGTGATTAAAGATGGTATGAATACCCTTTATAGTAATTTGAATCAAAATTAGAGTTTATATAATTTATTTTGTTAAGCAGTTTACCAAATAGCTTTAACTTAATTTTAAAAGTTATTATTTTTTATAAGAGTTTCATAATAGCTTTTAAGTTAAAAAAAAGTTAGGCCAAACAGGCTTTTAATAAAAATTTGAAAATAATTAGGATTTGGAAATAAAAAAAAAAACTCAACTCAAGTCAAATTTAGTTATTATATATATCCCTCTAACTCGACAAATATCAACAAAATCATAAAAAAAAAGAAAATTAAAGTATTAATTAAATTAAGAACTCTTAAATTTAAATCTAAATTCAAAATCAAATTCTAAAACACAAAAAATTGTTAGATCAAAACAAAATCCAAAGTAATCAACCTAACCAATTATCTACAATATCTCATTAAAAGAACAACTGCAAACAAATAAGGAAAAGCCAAATTTTGGTAAATTTATTTATAGTTTTATGTCATCAATAGTTGATTTAGTTTGGTGTTGGTCAAATCGCAAGTTATGTTGCTAATGCTAATGTCGCAAAGCCAATACCCTATTGGCAAAAGGTTAACCTAGTGGGGTTGTAATGTCCATGTTTACAAGCCCACAAACCCGTCCTAATCTATCTAATGTGGGATTTCGTAACATTTTCTTCTACTCGTGTCTGTGATACCTTTGTTACGGCTTGCGTCACCTTGCCTAGTCCATCCATTAGAGCTCTTGGCATGACGTCATAGTTTGGTTCAAATTGTTTGAAGTACCACTTATCACGTGGCCATTATCCTTTTCCTAAAAGGTTAACATACTAACGTGTGTAGCACCCATGCTTATATACTTGAGATCTCTCTCTTATTTATTCGATATGAGATTTCGTAACACTGGCACCTTCACCTCATTCTTTTTCTCATTCATCTTTTTTTCTAATGTCACTTTATCTTCTTCATCTTGTCTCCCATCTTTTGTTTCAACTTTAAGGTTGTCTGACGTAATATCAATGCAGCCCAACAACATAAGCAAAAGGGTGGAGAGTAGGAGCAAAAAGAGAAAAGCAAAAGCAAAAGCAAAAAAGCAAAAAAAAAGAAATAAACAAATAAAAAGAAAAAATACTTTTATTTTTATTAATAAGTATTTTTCATCAAGTGTGCAATGACATATTACCGAGGCTTAAGGTTGTCACATGGTTTGATAAATCCATGTCATATTTTTTAAAAAATTTATAAACTTTAAAAAATTCCACCTAACTACTACGTCCAATATAAAGGAAAAATTCTAACGATAATAACAAATGGATTTTGATGACAGTATTTAAGAGAATAAAGATTCAATTTACACAAATAATAGAAGAGAAACTACATCTAATATTTTCTTAGAGTATAAAGACTAAATTCATAATATGACTATTTATAATCTATAATTTATATCTATCTACATGCCATGACCCAATCTCGAGCCATGGTCGGTGCACGGGCCTAATAAATAAAGCCCACTAGACCCAAATAAGCCTCATGTTCATAAACTTCTATGATATTCTCCTATATTACATATAACCAAAAAACTCATCATAGTATAACTTTCTATCTCCAAAAGATGTCATTAATACTCATAATCATATGTTAAAGTTATTTAAATATGTGTGTGCGTACAAGCCATCACTATAAATCCATTAAGTGTAGGCCAAATCATGACTATATTAATATATTTTCAACATCCAACAAATACAAAAATGGACACTCGAGGGTGTTGAGACATGTAAAAGATATGGTGTATTGAGAATGTGACACTTAAATGATATGTGAATGTTACACTTACATTAATATGTTGAGAAATTCTATATATGTGTAATGTTGCGAATGATAGAATGCATAAGTTGAATAGTATACTTATGATGATTATGTATGTTTTCAAAATGATGAATGCTTTACGATGAATGTTAAAAAGGTTTGCTTGGGCTTAAGCTGGCTATAACAGTTTAGATCCATGCACTGGTCAAGATCCTTTCAGGAAATGGGATGTGACTTAAAGGTCCACCCTTAGGTGACCCATTTGAAATATGAATTTGTCTATGTGAAATGTAAGATAAATTTTGATAAAGTTATAGCTAACCGTAGTATAAGGTTTGCCTCTCTGAAATTATATTTGTTGAGGACATTGTAGGCATACATGTCCATGTATGTAATTTTGGAATCAGTGAATGCGTTCACCCAATGATTCTGTATTTGATAAATTATGGAGCCTTTAGATACGTAATTGATAACTCTATGTTATAGACTTATTTGTCACATGTTGAGCATTAAATTGGCTAAGTTCTTGAGTTTTAGTTTGGCAATTAGATATTTTTATTTCTTTGTTTTAGTTTATTAAATCATGTTGGGTTGATTTAATTTAAGTTATTTTATGTTAGTTTCATGAAAATTTGCTTTTAGTTTAGTTATTATTGATTAGTTTGTTGTTCTTGTAGGTGTGTAATTGAAAGAACTTAAATTGTTGAAGAAAAGTGCATACAAGGTCCATGCTTCTATTGCATATGTTCTAGTATTTTGAGCATAACTCTCATTCTAGAAGTTCAATTGAGCTGATTCTTAAGCCAGTGGAAAGTTAAGAAAGGTCCATGATTATATTGCATATGTTCCATTATTTTTAACATAACTCATTCTAGAAGTCCAATTGAGGTAATTCTTAAGCCATTGGAAAGTTGATAGTGTGGCAACTTTTATGTTTACCACATTGCCTAGTTCATCTTAGAAGTAGAAGAACATCATATCACAAGTCAAAGTAGTGAAACAAAGCAAAGAATGCAGGACAGAATGTTGGGTGCCACGGCCATGGATGCATGGGAGCCGTGGTGTCATGAAGAAGAGGTGTGCATGGGCCAAGGTACAAATCTTCACGTTTTGATGCTGAGGGAGTGGCGCACCATGGAGTCAACACGATACCTCGGGTTTTGAAAAATTTAGACTTTCAATTCAAGTAGAGTTTTGAGCTTTAATTAAAGACCCATTTAGAGCACTTAAGATCAACAATTAAGATAGGTTTTCTTTAAAGAAAAAGATAGAATTTTTTCTTTAAAGAAAAAAGGTTGTCACACAAGCAAGAAAGTGAGGAAAAACTCTTAAAGATTGAAGATCAAAGACTTGACAAATCTTCATTTTTTTTTGGTTACTTCTTTTTATACTTTTCTTGTTTTGTGTTAATGGTTCAACTTTTTTTGAAGATGTTTTTAGTAGTTATGAGGAACTAAATTTCTTATTTAGAATTGTAATTGAACCCAACATGTAGTTTGAATTTTTAATATTTTCTTTTGTTTATGATTGATAGTATTTGAGTTTATTTTAGTCATGTGATTAATACATTTGATTCCTTGATTACCAATTAGATAAATAAGGTAACCTAAACGGAATTGGAAGAAAAAGTTTAGTGTAAGCATTGGATGAAACAACATATGTTCAATATCAATTGCATGAGATGATTGATTTGATTCGCATGTAAGGTAAAAATACATTTATATGTCATATGTAGCCATAATTAGAGTTTAAGCTTAATGAGTCTTTCTTAATTGCAATTTGCATAAGAATATAGTAGATTGGTTAAAAAGGATATTTTTATAAGAATATCAAAAGAGACTTATAAATATTTTAGAATTACAAGTTAACAACTTAGTTGTATAGTAAGTAAAGAGAGAGTAGAAGAGATTGAAATAAAGTGTTGAGAGGATATTGTGGTTTTAGACTTTGATTGAGTTTATCTAGTTAATTTGCAATTTTTGTTATTAGTTTTAGTTACTTTAATTTTTAATAGTTTTAAAAATTGGTTATTTGGATAAGATTAAGTTGTGCTACTTTTAGTACTTAGCAAAATTTAA